CGAGATAGAATGGACGGTAGGGCAAGGGAGTGAAGGTGAGGGGGTTGAATAAGTCCGTTTCGCTCGTGGTGGGAAACGTGGAAGGATATGGAACAGAAGGAGAGAGAGAGAGAGAGAGAGTGCGTGATAAAAATATATTTTAACGTCACGTGTGATCTAATCCGCCTTTCACACGCGCGATCGAAACGTCAAAAGTGTCAAAACTCGGACTTGTCATCTTCAACATTTACAATAATAAATAAGTCTGTTCGCGTTGCTTGTACTTGTTTACACTCAGCTTCTCTCCAATATTCAAACATATATTTGTCTCTTTAATCAGTACAACAATTTTTGAGAATTTCAAGCAACGCGTAATAAAACTAATATTGTTAGAATACGCTGGAGATAAAGAAAGAGAAAGAGCGACGATGGAAAAAAAGAGAGAGAAAGGGACGAGGGAAGAAAGAGAAGTCTGCGCCGAGTAGTAGACGGAGCGCGGCGAGCGGGGAGAGGGAAGGTCGCGCGGGATTGGGCGGGAGAGGGGATGTATAGCTGGGTCGAATGCGCGCGATTGGTGGGGGGAGTCGTTGGCCTCGGGAGTCGGGAGTCTTCGTCCGCGAGCGGCGAAGTGGTCTTGTCAGTGTGTTGCGGAACGCGCTCTGTCGCTCTGCCGCTCTCTGTTAGTGCTTGTTGACGTTTCATTAGTGTGTATGTGCGCGCTCGCGCGTGATAACCACTGTTTTCGTGCCTCCGTTTTCGGAGTCGTGCTTCGTGCTCCGGCCGTCCGTCACGCGGCTGGATCGAAAGGTTTACGGTTTCTATCTGTCCATCTATTCCTCTCTGACACGTGTGTGTGCGCGCGCGCGGGTGCGGACGCGCGTGAGTGTTCAGTGTGTGCGCGTGCCTGTGCGTACATGTATTCCGGATGCCCGGTGTATATGCGGGCGGCGGCGGCGTCGTCGTCGTCCTCGTCGTCGTCACGCGGCGATGAACGCCGATGACACACGGGGGTTCCGAGGCAACTTCTTCGTCGGGTGGCGCGCATCGTCGAGCGCCCAGGACTCCTCGCGGCGGCGGCGGCGACGACGACGAGCACGCCCGCGGTGCCTGCTAGCGGCATCAGGACTCGCGGAGCAACGAGCTGCACCTTGGTAAGTGTCGAACAAGCGCAGGACAAGCGCATTGCTATGGTGTATTATCAACGAACACGATGAGCGCGCGTACAGTGTACATCAGGATATTTCCGTTAGTGCCGCGTGTCCTCCGATGAATTTGGAGTACTCGAGCGAATCGCGGTCATCTCGCTGTTTCAGGTAAAAATTCAAAGGAACTGGCGCCATTTTCCGCGCTACACGTTTGAATTTCTGGATGTTAAACGTTCCGATATACACTCCGGGCCGAAAGTTTAGAAATTTTTGAAGATTTTCATTTTGGGATTATTTTAAAATTATTATATAATAAGTATTTATGTTTAAATAATAAGGTTGCTTTTTTTTTAGGAGACACGGTCGACACAAACGTTGTTTTGTCCTTTTTTTACATTTAATGAGTAATAAAGGTACAACCACATTTGTGCTTGCTTGTGTCGATCGTATCTCGTAAAAAGAAAACTTATGTCACACTACGCATTGGAAACTAAGGATTACGAATTATAGATTAGAATTCGATCAGTCAAATACCTAATTTAATTTTAATCCGTTTTATTCCAATTGGTTGAATTTTAATTCATTTCGCAATTTCCAATGCGTATTATGACACGGACTTAATGGGCTTTCTAATAAGCTATTACCTAAGTTTTAAGTCTTAAAAGCCCGTAAGAAATTGACCAATCGTAGTCGATTATTCCTCTCACATTCAACTATAACTGGTCAATTTCTTACGGGGGAGGGGGGGGGTCTTTAAGGCTTAAAAGTTTATTGCAAAATGTATGTAGTTCTTCATAGAGCTCCAATCTTTTTATTAAATATCCCTAACAATATGTTTATTAACAATAATTCTTTAAATCGAATAGCAATTATTGGATCTAAAGATTATTGTTAAAAAATTATTATTAAAAACATTTCTTTGACAATAATTTTTCAGATCAGTAACTGTTATTGGATCCACTACATATTTAAGTAAGTAATCCCAAAAATGTTAATTTAAAACAAATTTTGTTTCCCAACTTTTGGAGCTCGACGAGTTTTGAATATATATTTTTAGGTTACTTGAGTATACAAATATTTTATTATTATGTTAACATTTAAAAATATTGTTATGGCGTACTACTAATTAAACGCGTGATGTACAACCAATTACAGCGCTGATTCTTAAAACTTTTTTTTCCAAGCGTTATTTAGGTATTAATTATGAGAAATCGATAAAAATCATTATTTTATCGTATCGAGAAACATTTCGTTAGAATTTTAACAATTAAAAGATAAAGACACTTTGCTATTCGCTCTGCTTGCCCTTGAAACCGAATTCGCAGGACGCACATTTTGACACGTACGTCTCGTTGATCATTGATATCGAAATAACCGCCATTTTCGTCGCGTCGCGTCGCGTCGTATTGTTAAAAGGATAAGATATTACATTTGCCGTACAACAAATTTTGTGTATTATAATTGATAGCACAGAGAGTTTCTTGGACCTCTAGACTTAAAAAATTTGCCGTGTGACAAAAAATAAACGGACAAATATAATATTGGCCTAACGTGGCTATTTGCGTTGCTTGAAATTCCGAAAAATATATGCACTCAAAATGAAATAGAAAATTTGTCCGCATTGCTCGAAATCCCTAAAAATTAAATTTTTGTACTCAAAACAAGATAAATATAATATTCGAATGTTGAAGAGAAAGAAAACGAAGATGCCAGGTGCAAAAAGTGCAAGTAACGCGAATAAATTTAAATATATATATTTGGGCGTTGAAAAGAGAGAGAAAGCGAAACTGCCGAGAGCGCAAAAAGTGCAAGTAACGCGAGCAGATCTAATGACAGGACGTCTCATATGTTTATGTATGTTTATGACGCGAGTCCCTCTGTGTTTCGTCACAATCGAACGCTCACGCCGTCCCTCCGCGTTACGTTCCGATCAGAATGAAAGGAACGTGATTAGCAGGTCGGATCTCTCGCGGAGCGAGACGCGTGAAGTTGGTCGTGCATGCGGCGCGCGGTCGACGCGACGTGACGAATCAGGATATAACTTGTCGGGACGAGTCAGCGTTCCCGTCGAATCGCGCCACGCCACTGTAATTCCTGACGCCGCGCCGGCAACAATTTCGAGCAAGTAAGGAGAAATTTATATTAAACGGATATAACAAGAGAAACTGTATTGTACTAAAAAGAGGAAGGAACAAGGAGATATCACGCTTTGCGTCTATTGTATAAAATTACATTTCGTATTCCAACTCCGTGAAAAGATATCGTTACAATGGCGGGATTACGCGAATGATTATAATGAATTATATACAGGATCAACTATGAATATTTTTTAGTTGTTATATATATGTATGTACATAATCCGTCACTTTTATTATTTTATAATTATTATTAATTTTGATTATTAAAGTGAATAATTTGAGAATAATCGCTTGATTTTTTTTTATATGCGTAAATGATTACACGGAGTATTTTTATATTTCAATTAAAGTCACTATTATTAACATATTGTATATTATTTATTCCGATTTTTATATTTGAGAACATATGGATATACATTTTATCATAATTTTCTGAAAAATGTAATGTTTCGTAAAAATCTAACAAAATTAACAAAATTGAACATGTTAAGTTGCTTATTTTATGACAGTATTTTTTTAAATATAGATTTTAATTAAAACATCTAATATGATTTCAACAATGTTTGTTTATTGTGAGTTTTCGATTTCATATTTAAAGAATAATCTGTAAAGAATAATTACTAAAAAAAAAAAGAAAAAAAAATGTTAAACAATATAACTGTATAAAACAATATTTTACAAAAATTTACATTGTTTCGCCACTGAGATTTAAAAATATTTTTGGTGACTATTCCCGGCAATGTAAATTTTAAAAGCAACTACGAGGTAGAATTGTTTTGGTTACAGCAAGTAGATAAATTATACGAAATATTTAAAGGTAGCTATATATGTATATTGTATATACATACTTGTATATATAATATACATATATTATATATATAGTTAAACATTTATTATATATATACATATATACTTACTTGAAGTCGTTAAATAATTATTGTTTTAAATTTAATTGTTTTACACTAGTGTGAGTGAAAAATTGATCGCAAAAAATTCGTGATTTTTTATCTTTTCCACTGAAAGCTATGATGCTTGCAGATATATCATGTGATAAAGATATTTTCAGAAATAAATAATTAAAAAAACCGTTAAAAATTCTTTGCTGGTACTACACAATCTCACTCGTTTGAATACGTCGTTTTATACCAAACAATTCAGATAAATTACACGTGCCTTTTAAAGGATGCCTCGCGACAGCGAGGAACGAGTTAGTTCCACTTCGTCCCTCGATTTGAATCGGCGCACTGGAAAACGTCTTTAAACGTCGGGAAATATTTGCGACAGAAATTGGTAACGGCTCGTCAAGACTCTTGAGTTGAGTAAAGCTTGCAAGTTCGATCGCGAAGTCAAAGAGGAAGTCCAGATATGATGTTCATATTCCTGTGACTGTACAGTCTCTAGGGGAGGCAGAGTGTTTTATTATGTTATGCTAAAAAAGCCGCGAAAGGCACTGTGATGCTGTATTTGGAAATAACGACAGGAATAGTTATAACTATTAAAGCCACATTCTGTATATCCGTCAGATATACAAGGTGGATATTAACAAGGGAGATTAGATTAGGCAACGCGAAAATTCAAAAAATTCTGAAACGTGTACAGGTAATTCTCAAATGTGCAAAACTTTAATCGCCTATGGTTTTAAATGCATATTTAAAAAATTTCTATTGCTGTTTTATTTTAAGCAACAGACCACAGAATAATCTTCTGTTGTTATACAGAGTGGATACTAAGTAAGTACTCTAAAAAATTTTAAGGAGTGATTTTTCATACAAATTTAAGATGAAAACTTTATATCACTACATGTTCAAGAAACGATTTAGTTTTAAAGATACAGGATGTCAAAGACAAAGAAAAAGTTTTATTTTTTAAAAAAATCACTGAGTGAGAGATATCGAACAAAATTTAACAAAAATTGCATTTCTTTTTTTTTATATCTACAAAGCTGTGTTTAGATAAGTATTGAAAAAATATGGATGTTTTGATACTTATTTATATGCAGTTTTATACATGTAAAAAGAGATGCAACTTTTGTTTAAAACTTTTTTTCGATATCTCTCACCGTTCAGCAGTTATTTCATCAAAAAGAAAAATCGATATTTTTTCAAGAGATAATTTCTTCCCCTTAAATGATAATATAGCATGAAAAATAGTTTTGTGTTATGGATGAACTAATTTACTTGCGCGCAATTTTTCAGAATTTTTTGAATTTCCGGGTTGGAAATTCTAACCTTTCTTGTGTAAGTACTCTCTAAATTCTTTAGAATATGGAATGTCATTTTAAAGAATGAAAAATTCTGTCAGTCTTGAGAAAGAGTAGCAGAATTTTCAATCTTTAAGATAAGTGAGATTTCACTTTTTAGAGTGAAATTCCACTCGAAAGAATTTAAAGAATACTTTAAAATCTAAAAGATTTTAAGAAATAATTTCTCACACAAATTCAAAACGGAAACTATAATCACACTCTAAAAAATAGCGGTGTCTATATAATTCTCATTATGTCGGTGTTAATATTAACATCAATATGATATGAATTTAACGTGAGTTTTAAATCCACATCACATTGCTATTAACACAGTGAGAATTATATCGCATGGCTGTTAAATCCACACCAGGGATGTTAAATCTACATTCATATTTTTTGAACTGTCAACTTTTTTGAATGCTTTTCAGCAAGAGACACAGATACAGCGTAACACAGTGAATTATTACATCCTTATTGTTTGCCAATGTTAAACAAAAATGAAATGATTACTGTGTTATATTGTATCTCTTGCTGGAAAGCACCATATACGTCCGAAACGGTTTAGTTTCAAAGATAGGATGTCAAAGTTGAAGGAAAAATTTTGTTTTTTTCCAAAGTTTCGGAAA